GTTCCAGTCAAGAACATATACAGAACATATATTAATTGCAGAAGATATACAAACCATCATGAAGAAGATACAGTTGCTTACATATTCATTACATATACACAACATATATAACCTGCTTTTGTTCAATAGAACATACGCTTTTTTACAACAAGTTAATATTGGGATAACAACATATAACTCCAGTAAACTGGGTAAAAGAAAAATGGGACAAACATTTCCGTGGGATTTCGTCATATTGCCACTCGACTTGGCCCTTTTCTTGCTCGTGATATTCTTCGAAAATTCTGAAATCGAAAGGCCTCGACTACTCGGTCTCTCTCTCTCTCGATCTCGACGTTGTTCGGGTCACGGGAAGAGCTGCTTCTCGGTCTGCTTGTGCGTGTGACGAACAGGGACAAAGGGTGTTGGTCCTCTCCTCGATTCCTCCTCACAGGTTGAACACGTTCACTGCTCGGCTTCTCCTTCTCGGCAACGGCACAGGGACCGACAAGGTGCTGCTCGTTGATGGCGATGGATGAAAGGACGGCTTGCTACTCGATTGCACGGCCTGCTGCTCGTCGATGGCGCACGGCGAGGCTCTCCGAACAGAAAAAAAGAACGCCCCGCAATAGGATTTTTAAGGCGGGATCAAAATGGATCTCAGCCTGGGGTCTGCTCGATCAAACGGTGATAGAATGGACCTGCTGCTGCTCGCGTATAAGGTTTGCAGTTGGTAGTTGTGGGAGAGAGATGAGGGCGAGATTTTTCTTACCAAATACCTCGGGATTTTTGTTTTTGGAAAGTGATAAGTAGCTATAATTACTGTTAATATTAATCATGTTTAAATGAATGATTTTTTTATATTCTGGTAATTCTGCAATTAAAATTGTCAGATTTTGTATTTTTGTTAATACTTAATACTTATAGATAGGTTTCATTTATGCAATAAAAAATGAGATTAGTTGTATAGGGTGCAATTTTCTCCTTTAAACCGGGCACGAACCTATTTTCATAAATAAGGGCCAGAATTGGCCCGATCCGGTCAAAACACGGCCCGGGTTCTGGTGTCAACGGGTATGACATCATTGGTCAATGGACTCAGCCCAGTCTTTATCCAAGTCCAACGAAATAAATCTGAAATTGAATATGAATGTGAAACAATACATATTGTGATTTGGATATGATTTGACACAGAAGATTTTCAACCCACAATATTTGTTTGTTATAAAATATTATACTATTATTGTATTTTTTTCATTAATTTTCTCATAAAATCCAATAACAAATCAATAGTACTTCCCGTTTAGTTTTGCATAATTGCATGTCAATATAGGTTGGATTGTTTATCTATATTTCTTTGCTGTTTGAAACTAATAATCTAGTTCAATATATATGTATATATACACATAGGTATATATAAAATCTCCTAATTTTAATTTATCATAAATACTTTATTATCTTAAAATTAGGATCTTTCAATAAATTTTAGAGAAATTTAATGGAAAGTATATTAGTCAAGCCTCTAAATTGTTATTTCTTATATTTTCCTCTCCACCTATTTTATATCTTCGAGAGCAAACATGTTTTTATAAATGCATTATTTCGCCCACCTGATCAAATTCCTATAACTATCAATTGTATAAAACTATTATTTTACTATTACGTAATCAAATCATTAATTTTAAATCTTTTCTAGGATAAAGCACATTAAAAATCTTAACATGCTATCAATCTTCTGCGAAAAAACCTTTTACAATTAGATCAAGGTGAGTCTCCTATCCATTAACAAACGACTAATGCGTTTTATAAATTTTACATGCTATTTTTTGTGCTCATCTCGTCTTTTTATGGGATAGCTTTATAAAAATTTAGTAGTAAAGTCTTTGTGAGATATTATTGATCATTTCATAAACATAAAATTGGCCACGGTTTCGTCAGATATTCATTAACTTTTAACGTCATGGGACTACAATTG